TGAGCTCATCCTATGAACCAGGAGGTCACGGTTCAATTCCCGGTGGGGTTGCGGGCTCGATCCCCAGTGTGGGCCATGCTGGAGGCAGCCGATCAATGATTCTCTCTCATCATTGATGTGTCTATCTCTATCTCTCCCTCTCCCGTCCTCTCTGAAATACATACAAATATATTTTAAAGAAATAAATATAAGGAAACTGAGTCAGACAGAGAAACAGAAAATAAGAAGCAATACACCAGCGACAGGGATTCTTAAGCACAGACAGGAGGGGAAGCCAAATGTGTTGGGAATGGTTCTGTTCTGTCTATGGGGACATCAGTAGAAAGGTCAGTCCCCTTGTGTTTATACTGGTCCCCCAAATACAAACACAGCTCCACTCCCACGCAGTCTCACACTTAGGACACAGGACACACACGTAGCACAAGTCTCACTCTTGCTCTACGGCTCCTCGCTCTACTGTTCCTGAAGTCACTCTGGCTTACACAAACCCAGCCACCCACTCTTACACTGGCAGAAACGACCTTAAACCCCATAGAGACCTTCCCAAAACACATTCCCGATGTGGTCCCAGGACCTCTCACACGCACCAACACACGACCCAGTCTCTCCCCAAACACTTCACATTGACACATACACGCACAATCCCTGGCACAGCCACATGCACAATGACAGCTACATGAGCTGACACTTGCAACAAGTGACGCCGTTGCGGAGCTTCACACAGACATCATCACACACAGCCTCACAGACACACACACACACACACACACACACGCACACGCACACGCACACACGCTGACAGTCCCTCAGTCACACTGAGCCCTTCATCGTACTTCACCCTGCCCGGTCCTCTGCTGGCAAGGCTCCCTCGTGCACGCCCACAGCCCCACCAGGCCTCACCTTCCGCGGCCTCCGCCGCCAGCGCCCTCCGCCCTCGCCCTCTGCCCCGGCCTCTACTCCCTCCAGCCCTGGGGCCCGATATGGGGGTGGCTCCGCCCAGGCACCAATGGAAGGAGAGGGGTGAAATAGGGGGGGTTCCGGCCCATTGGAGCCTCCAACTGCCAATCACCTCCTCCCCCACCTCTGCCGGACACTTCCTGTCCCGTCCCGGACCAAGGAGGCTGCGAGGGGACAGAGCCTGGGGATGGATTCCTGGGTTCTTGCCCGAAGGCTTGTCCTCCAGGAACAGCAAGGCTGAAATCTTTCAGGCCCCTCCCCCTACCTTCTGTCCGCAAACAAAGCCTCAAGTTCAGTGGCTCAGGAGCCACTGGACAGGTGACTGGACAAGCTTAAGGTGCCCCTGACTCCAAATAAAGAAGAATGGTGTAGGGCAGAGGTTCTCAAACTTTGCTGAATATTGTGGTTTTAAAACTGCAAGCCATACTCCAAACCAATTAAACCAGAAGCTCTGGAGGCTGGACCTAGGCATCAGGATTGTTTAAAACACCCAGATGATTCCAAAATGCAGCCCAAAGGAGTAGGGCATGGTTCTGTTTAAAACGTCTGCCGGGTTTAGGCGAGTGCCTTAAGAAACAGGGTCTCATCCACGCTCGTCACTGGGGGCTTAAGGAAAATGTGTCCCATGTCTGTCTGAGCTCCTTCCAGACCAGGGCAACACTCCAAGTCCCAGACCCTTCGCCTCAGGGTCTCAAGAGAGAACCTTGGACCGGAAGGCAGGCAGCCAAGGTTCTCCTGGGCCAGGTCACCGCTGTCTGGTCTTGGTCTTGGCGTGATTTCCCTCCCAAAGAGCATTCTGGCCATCCTTGCATTGTTTGCAACCCTGTCCTCACCTAAAAGTTTGAAGGACACTAGGTGGCATCGAGTCTCCTGGGTTGCATGGCCTATTGTTCCCAAGGAAACAGGTGCAGGAGGGTCAGGGTAGACTCCAAAGACCACCCCATCCTTCCAGGCCCTGGGGCTCCTAATTTTAACAGCCCCTTTCCTGCCATAGCTGTTTATTAACCTGTGCAGTGATGAGGCACAGGGACCACAGAGGTGTGTAGAGCCTGCACATACATGCTGCACGTGGAAGTCTGGAGAAGCCAAGGATACAAAGCCACGTACACGCTCCCTGCCCGCCCCTTTTAGCCCCTGTGGGCTGGAGCAGAGCCAAGCTACAGCCACTCACAAAGCCAGGGTTCTGGCCAGCAGCCCATGGTCTGGCCACTGACCACTGGGACCAGGATCCTGCTCACCCGCTCCCCACCAAACATCCAGGCCCAGGCTTGGTGAGCTGACACCCTAGGCGTGGTGGTGAGGGGGCCTCTCGCCTTCTCCAAAGCCTCAGCCACAGACAAGCACACAGGAGTTTTAATCGTTTTCTTAAATTGGGATGCTTTCGTTACTCCAGGAATTAAGAGAATCCATAAACAAGACATAATACTGAGTGCTAATTTTGTTCAGAGATTGAGGGAAGATTTTTATCCTTAAGTTTTTGCACATCTGTAGACAAAGAAAAGTTGTGGTTGAAGCTGTGCCTTCAGCCTTTAACCCAGACTCCCGAGGGTTAGAGTTCACACTCCTCTGGCATTAGAATATGTGATTAAAGCTTGAGAAGTACAGTTTTATTAATCCCACATCTGCCCAAACCATAGGCTCTGGTTCTCTCAGGCAGAAAGCCTTGGGGTCAGCATGGTCAGGCGACGGCTGCTGTCTCCCTGTCCTTCTGTCTCAGGCGGTAGTGAACTTCAGGAAGTGCCCTCAGTCTCTCCGCAGCCTGAAAGGGGAAGAGGGAGGGTAAGAGCTGCCCAGAATGGTGGTATGGAGCTCTGAGTGCCTAAGAGACACTGAAGGAGGGCTTGTAGGACCAGGAGGCTGGTGATAAGGACTGCTGGAATAGCCAGAGGATGAAGGAGTTGAGCAGCTCCTGCAGCCTTTGGAATGCCAGGGTTATAGGAATTCTCGAGGTCCTGATTGCTGGGATCTTTTGAGGAAATGGGAGAGAAAAGGGGACCTAGGATGCTCCGAGTCTTGACCTGCTCAGGAGTGAGGTCCCTCTGAGCCTGGGCAAGCATTTCGTAGCCAACCATGAATTTCCGAACAGTGGCAGAGCGCAGGAGTGGAGGGTAGTAATGAGCATGCAGCTGCCAGTGGTCCCAGTTGGCTCCGGCCTCTGATCCTGTGGGAGCCCCTGAGAGGAAGAAGGCAGAGATGGCAGAAACGGCCCTTTCTAAGTTGTACAGACTAGCCCTGACCCCCGCTACCCCATAACTAGGCTAGTACTTAAAAACTATATTTCCCAGCATTCTCTGCCAGAGAGCAGACCAGGCATTGGAAAGCACACTGGAACCTATTTTCACCAAGTCCCTGCTCCACCCTCAGGCCTAGCAGCCCTGCTCCGGACATTTCCCCCAGCAAGAGTTCAAAGGCCTGCTAGGGGTTGCAGTCCACCAGGCTGGGCTACGGGAGCCCACAAACGATGTTAGGGCTAGATATGGGTGCTCAAAAAGCCTCACCGTGCCAGCCCATGGAGTAGGGAA